TCTATCTGTCTATCTGTCTATCTATCTATCTATCTAGAATGGCTATAGATTACAATAAGTTTTGTGTACTTCTGTATATAAGTTGTTGGGGGTTGTGAGGCTGTGGTTCCACTCATGTTCTGCACACGGGCTCTCAGACAACTGGTGGTCCCATCTGTAAATAGACGGTTGATCTTTGATCTATTCCCTGGTGTTCTTATATCTATATTTCCTGCTGTTGGCTTTGATGAGGTTGTCCACTTTCATGTCACTACGAACTGGGTTAGGCTGACAGATGGGAAGGGGTACAAAGCCAACCTGTGCAGTTTGTATCTCAGCTGGGTTGCCTTTGAACCTAAGACCTCCCAGTCTAGGTCTAGCACTCTAACCACTACTTCATACTGTTGTAGCACCTGAAACAAAACACAAAACCTCTAGGGCATACTCACAGTAGACCGTAAGATTAGCAGTGCCAGTCCCGTTGCCAAAAGGGTTGGAGATGATGCAACGGTAAGTGCCAGCGTCTGTTCGTACTGGGTGCCCGATTCGTAGGTAGCCAGCAGAGCGCAAATATCGGGGGTGTTCACTCAGACTCTCTCCATCTTTAGTCCAGGAGACTGAACCTCGGACAGGGGTGCAGTTGAAGGCGACAAATTCATCTCCTTCTGTTGCCTCTGCCGAAGGTGGAGTCACAGAGACGTTGCCCACCTCCTCTAAGAAAACACACGGGAGTAGGAAATGATACTTCTCTTTTCCCCCCATTTCTAAACAGTGAACTCGAGAGTCAGTCTACCCACCCTCCTGCCTGCTAAATCACTTGATGTCCATCTCCTTTGTTCACCAGCTGACAGCAAGACATACAGTGGTGCCCCACATAGTGACGATAATCCGTTCCGGAAAAATCATCGCTATCTGGATTCGTCGCTATGCAAAAACAAAAAGCCCATAGGAATGCATTAAACCCCGTTTAATGTGTTCCTATGGGCTTAAAACTCACAGTTATGCGAAAATCCTCCATACGGCTGCCATTTTCGCTGCCCGGTATGCGAGGAATGGGCGCAAAAACACTGCGGGCGGCCACTTTTTTCCAGCGGCCATTTTGGAACAGCCGATCAGCTGTTTTTAAAACATTGCTATGTGAAGATCGGTAAGCAAAACAGCGTACCGATCATCGCAAAGCAATTTTTTGCCATTAAAAAGATTGCAATGCAATCGCTTTTACGATCGCAAAAAACAAATCGCTATGCGGATTCTTCGTTAAATGGGGCGCTCGTTAAGTGAGGCACCACTGTATTTCCCTTCCTGCCCAATCACCAAAAATGATATCTTCACTTTATCTTGGCTCTGGGCTGCCATATTACCCGAATTATTAGAGGGTTAGCCATATCCTGAACTTGCTTACCCAGATCATCCCAGTGCTTGTTTCCAGAATCTGCAGGCCCCCAAACTCTTGGCTGCCCCAGCTCTGTGATGTCACACTATCTCCTTCCTTGGTTTCATCCCTCAAGAATTGGGATACCATCATCCTGGCACCCTGACCAAACAGCCGTAAGAAGCTCAACACATTACTGCAGCTTAAACATGTTACTCACCGTAGACTCTAAGGGTGATGTTTGCCTTCTGCACGGAACTCCCCAAGGGGAAGATTTCCACGGTGTAAATGCCAGAGCTGGCCACAGTGACTGCTGTGATATTAAGGTTGCCTCGCATGGGATCCACACTGACCTGAGACTGGAAGTAGGGGGCTATCATAATGGTGAAGTTGGGATGCAAAGCCCCCATCGCAACAATGGTCATATTCTTCCTCCAGATAATTGTCGTCTGAATCTGAACAGCGGGGAATGGGAATGGGATGGGAAGAGAAAGAGAATCTCCCACACGGACCACCAATGGGGGTGAAGGAAGAGCTGGGAGTAAGAGGACTGAAAAGTACAGGGGAAGGAGAGGGGGAAGCATAAGAGACAGGACGTTTTTCATTATTTATTTATTTATTTATTTATTT